ACTATCATACTCGGTAATATACTAATACCATTTCAGTATTTGATCTACTAGACTCAAGTTAAAAGTTACTCTTTCTAATTAACTTGTTAGTCTAATTAAGTAATTACTAATTACTAATTAGTGACTTAAGCCTTAAGGGTAAACCAATAAAAGATATACAAAAATATAATAATCTTATGTTTCTCATCCCTTTATACTAATAATATCTAACTATGAGAATATGAGATGGTTATATGTTATGTATCTGTATAATCGATTGAAGGAATCAACATTACCTTCTTCTTCATTAATGTTTTCTTTCATTATACAAATCAAACTACTCTGTAATATCTTCATGTATAACTTTATGCAAATATATAATGATAAACGAGTCTTAATTATCAGTCTTGTTGACTAATTAAGTATCGAATACCAAATTGCAAATTTCGATGTCACAACAACTCATCAAATCATGATTATGACACTATTAACTAAATGATCAAATCAGAAGCAGATAATAATCTGATAGTTTAACAATAATACATTAATGCACTAAACTTTTATAATCTACTTCATAATAAACTAGTAAGACCAGTATAGCTAAACTTAAATCATAACATGATATGTATTTATAAAATTAATGAGAATTTGCATATAATATGATGCCTCAATATGAAGTGATGAAGTCTCGGCTTGATATAAAACTTGTTAACTAGCAAAAAGTTAGAAAGTAGTACAAAATTTTTTGAAATCAAAAACAGACTCGAACCGTAATTTAGTAAATCTGAAATAAAACCGATCTAAATAATGTTAAATCGTAGAAGAACCAAACCCGTGAACGAACCGAACCAGTTATAACCGAACTAAAATAAAACTAAACCAAAAAACAACCGAACCGTTTCCAACCTGAAACTGTTTGAACCGGGATAATAACCATTTACACCGAACCGTTAACAAACCGCAACCCGTCTGCACCGAACCGTTTACTACCTGGAATTTTTACAACCCGCACCGTTTACAAACCGAACCGAATTTAAACCGGGTTAAAAACCATTTACACCGAACCGTTAACAAACTGCAACCCGTCTACACCGAACCGTTTACAACCCGAACCAAATTTAAACCGGGTTAAAAACCGTTTACACCGAACCGTTAACAAACCGCAACCCGTTTGCACCGAACCGTTTACTACCCGGACCGTTTACAACCCGAACCGAATTTAAACCGGGTTAAAAACCGTTTACACCGAACCGTTAACAAACCGCAGCCCGTTTGCACCGAATCGTTTACTAACCGAACCGTTTATAACCCGAACCGAATTTAAACCGTTCAAGAATAAACCGAAACCGAACCGAACCGATAATTATTTAAACCGAACCGAAACCGACCCGTAAGACATTTGAACCGATTTCAAACCGACCCGATTTCAAACCGAACCGATTTCAAACCGAACCGAAACCGAACTGTCAAACCGTTTTGACAGTGCTAGTTGTACTGTTTCATAAGTACAATTCACCTAGTACGAGGAAATATTTCGGTTACATGTTACACTTAAGGAATTAAGGACTAATAGGATGAGTCCCAAATTTGTACGGAGTAATTTTTAAATTTATCTACCGTGATGTAGTAATCAATTTAATTTAAAACCAAAATGTGAATTCATGTTAAATATTAAACTTAATTATTACGTCAAATACTTATTAACACTTATGTGTCGCTGTGTCGGAATAACTTATTATCCGACTCCAAAGGTTTACCTGAAAACAAACTGTTTTTGAACTCAGTTTGTACCTAACCATAGATTGACCCAATGTTCAGTCGAATATAATTAATCTTGAATTGAGTTGATTTGGTTTATTATGATAAGATGATCCATAAAAGATATAGTAATTGACTTGATTGTTTCCCAATTTTATGGTTATTAATACTCTATAGCCAATAAAAAAAATAAAAAAAATAAAACTGAACGTTTCCCATTTAAAATAAAAAGGGGGAAAAAGTAACTAGAGGATGAAAAATATAAATATATCATAATAATGAATGAAGCTTCGAAAAAAAAATTTATAAACAAATTAAATTAAATAAATAGTGGTGCACTACGGAGTACTTGCATACAGTACTTCCCCATTACCAAGACAGTACGTATAAATAAATGTTTTTAACAATATGTAACACGGTCGTGGTACCGTCCCAATGGTTCAAGTACTACACACACATACTATCTACCTACTCGCGCATCATGAGTTCGATTCCTTACAACCCCCCTCCCAACCCCTAACATTTTTTTTTCTAATTATGTTTCCTATGAATTGCGCTTAACTTAAAAATTCCTCGGAAAAACAAATAATAAAATTTTATAAAAATAAATACAGGTTGAAAATAACCTTAATTGGAAATGTATTAGGATAATAATAATGGAATGGGAAAAAAAATTTAAAAAGAAAAAAATAAATAAATAAAGGTTTTATAACACTAGTGTTTACTATGCGCCCAACAACAAAAAAGTACCTTAAATAATTTCTTATTACAGTAAATACTACGGTCGAGGTACCGTCCCAATGGTCCATACACTACACACACATACTGTCTAGCTACCCGCACATCATGAGTTCGATTTCTCATAAACCCTACCCCATAACCTCATTTTTTTACCAATATTTTTTTTTTTGTCTCCCACTAATTGTGGTGGAACTTTTTATAAAAAAATTAAAAATAAAAACAAAATTTAAGATGATGTTTGGCATCGTTCCTTTTTTTTTAAGCTTTAAGATTTTTTAAAAAGCGATAACCAAAAATAGGAACCAAGAAAAAGGTGTCGCAATTTTTTGGATACTTTCTTATACGTAACTTTGTTACACATATTAAACATGTTGAATGAAATTATTATCTTGAATTTAACTTTGCTACACATAATAAATATTAGGTAAAAATTTAGCATACATTATGTATATCACACGACTTGGTGGTAAGATGCTTAACTATAGAATAAGAGGTTGCAAGTTATAAGTGCATGACATTAATTGAGAAACATATACAACGGAGATCCTCATGGCACTGAGTAGGTGATGACATGGCATAATAAGACGTTAATTGGATGTTGTGGTGCAATGGAGGAATCCTCGTGACACGTAGACTGTTTTAGTAATGTCTTTTAATATACGGTATAGATAGATACACACACACCCTAAAAAATTAGAGTATAGCATACATGAATGACTAGAAGTTTTTGGTTTTTCACCGTTTAGGACCTACAATTATAGTTCGGTGCAATGTTTACTTTTGAATTTAATGTGTGTATTTTTTTTCCCTAAAAAAATATAAAAAATATTTCTATACATTAACATTTGAAAAGTAAACTCATGGTTATAGGTGAGTTAGGTGACCAAAAAACCTAGGTCGGTTCCTTAAAGGTGGGAAAATAGACATAAGGTCCTTAAAGGTGAAAAATGCCAAAGTTAAGGTCCATTTGATTGGCTTAACTCTTATAATTATTACTTACTTTATAAATTTTCCTTACAAAATTCTCTTCTTATCTTGTTCATATAATATTCCTTTACATTATCTAATTTAACCCGCTTTTAAACCGCACCATGGTGTGTTAATTGCCTTTAATTATGGGACAACAATGCCTTTAGTAGTTGGGATTGTTTCCTTGAATGTAGTAGAGTGGAGTCCATTACTTAATCAACCAGCAGAGACCGTGAAAGTGATGCGCGGTAAACCAATGATTCATAAGTTTCATAAAACCTATATTTTTGTAAATCATCCTGCAGATGGCCCATAGACTATTACATTTGGTGTTTCAATAATGGTAGTAATGAAATCTTTTATTCGTAACTTTGTAATGCATTTTAATTTTTTTAATAATTTTTTTTTTCTTAAAGAACCACAAGGGCGGGTGATGAGAATCGATTCCAAGATCTCTTGCAACCGGGAGGGGAGATCTAACCACCAAAGCTATCCCTCACTCTCTTAGTTTTTTTTAAATATTTATAAGACGTTTAATTAACTGAAATTTTTGGGTCTAGATTGTATTAGTAAATTAACGTTACAAATATATTTTAAATAATAAAAATTGAATTAAATTAAGAGGGAAACATTAATTATCCATAATTTGTTTAAAAGCAAACGATCAAGAAAATCTTTTTTAAAATTTAAAAATTGTGTTTTTCGCTTGCTAATTCTTTGTCCCTCTGACTTCTCAACCCCACCCATATTATATTTTTTAAGAGGAAACATTAAAAAGAGTAACTATCCTTTTGTTTAAAGTACTCCGGTGATAAAGATCAAACCCTAACATTCATCTAAAATCCATTTTCTCAACTCCGGCAATATCACCACCAAAGGGTAAATCAATCAAAAAAATTGATTATTTCCAACACCACTGTAGAAGAATTTGGTTGCGCTGATTACTATCGGAATACGATAACTCTCACCCACAACGTAATTTCCTTATACGCCTTTTAAGTAGATATATCTACCTGTAATGATGTTTTTAATTATAGAACTTGAGTGTTTTTTGAATATTTAGAGTGTTCTTTGTTTGAAAAAGCATTCAGATGTGGTGTTGCATGTACTCGAGATTCCAACTACTTATGTTATGTCTTTAGATCTGCTTAATTAAACATTCGTTGTTGTGAATCGGTGATTTTTGAAAAAATAAATTATTGTGTTGTTTTTTTGAAACTCCGTATTATTGTCTTATGTCTTTAGATCTGCCCAATGTTTCCAAATTATTATTTTTTAATCATTAAATTTGCTCATGTTCTAAATACATTTGTTTTTATTAAATAAGTAACCCTCTAAATTTTAGCCGCTTATATAATTTTGTATACGAATATTTACAAAAATTGAGTCCTAGTTACTATAAAGGGATATAATTTGTATAAATTGTTGTGTATGATGTAAATGTTGAGTCCCTTTCCTTTTTATCTAGAATTTATAGAATCTTGCACGTGTTAGAATGACTGATGACTAATTAACTATTTTACAAAATACAATCTTTAATAAATTTATAGATAATGCCGGAGGAAGGTCAAACATGGTTCACTGTCATGATTAACTATGAGAAGCAGTATGAATTGGTAAGCAATGTCATTAAATTAACACAACTAAAGTATAATCATAACAAGTCCTGTTGTAAAACTTAAATTTTAACATATACTTTAAAATCTTATACCAGTTTGTTCCAGAACGAATTAGTAAACTCTTTCGAAGGAGTAGAGAAGATGTTAGAGTATATAGAGGAGATAGTACACGGATTTACCAGTTTAAGTGGAACAAGATTAGAGATAAATCTGGCATAGAGATATATTTTAAGGAGGGATGGTATGATTTCGTGAAGGACAACAGTATAGAGGCTGGTGATATACTGGACTTATTGTATATGGGTGATGGGGCATTCAAGGTACTTATTTGGCGTGATGGAAAAGATATCACTAGTGAATTTATTGAGATATCTTCTGATTCTTCGGTAGAGACTGAGCCAAAGGACAATGATGCTGAAAGAGAGAAGGCAGAACTCAACTACACTCGTCATTCCAGATAACAGGTGTAGCTAGATAGCAAACTTTGAAGTCAGATACACAAATCCATACAGTGCAGTTGGTAGGATGGTATGTTGTGGTTGAATTGAGTATATAATGACAATCATAATACATTGTTTGTTTAACAATATAAATAAGCTTATGTTTGTGTGCTAATTTTGCAGAATGTGCCTCTTAAATTTGCAAGGCTCCACTTCAGTTTATTTGGATATGAGAATTGTGCTGAAATTTGGGACAAAATAGTAAAAAGTGGGAAGCAAAACTTTTTGTGAAACGAGACTCGGATGGGAAAATTGTGTTGTGCAACATTAGATAAGGGGTTAAGGAGATGCGTGGTGAAAAGATTAGGGTTGGGAAGAAGGTAATTGTCCAGTTTCTTCGAAAGAATCCCCTCGCCTTCAAGGTCTCAATTGAGTAGTACATTACCAACACATCTCTTTTAAGGATAGTTTAAATTTCTTGTGGTAATGTTTGTGAAGAACAGTTCTGTCCCCATTTTGTCTGATTTGTATGCTAATTAGGTGCTCTGAATATGAAGGTAATATTTTAGGTTTGATTAAAAAATTACCATGTGCTACACAATGACTTTATTCTGTGTATCATACTTGTGCTTGTTTCTGATCTCGTTTGTGAAGTATATTGCTTTCTGATAATTTCTTAGGGTAGTTGTATTATTTTACATATTTGTTGGTTCCCCATTTAATTTATACATAACATATATATAAATTAGGTTTCCTATATGAGTTATGAGAAATGGATATTTACAAGAACTATTTTTTGTAAAACAAATTACAACAAAGTCAAAAACTAATGAAATTATTCCTTGTAAAACAAATTACAACAAATTCAAAAACTAATATGCACACTAGTTAAAATACCATTATTTTTTTAATATATTTTGGACCTATTTTGATTTAAGAAAGCCTTATCTATTAGGTGATTATGTCTTTTTTTTTATTTTAATTTTGCTTCAATTATGTTGGTATGTCAAATGTTCTAATTGTCACAATCCAGTTAAAGGAAGTAGTACACTCAATTGACTTGTAAGTTATAGATATCTTAATTAAGAGGTTAGGACATGTTATTTTTCAGCGTTGAGGACCTATTGACACTTTACCGTTAAGGACATGTTATTTTTATTTTCACCGTTAAGGACCTATTGATACTTTACCGGTGCAAACCAGTTTAATTCACTTATATTTTTATTTTTGGAGAAAAATAAATTTAATCATAAGAATGACGCAAAATATCTAGCTAAAAAATGTAATCATATTGGTATTGAGAACAACTACAAAACTGGCTTAATCTTCAATTAACATATGTTAGGTACATAAAAAGAAGCTTAATTTTTTTAGTTTAAAATTTAATTTAATTTATAATTATATTTTGACATATAACTTTAAATTAATTGATTTGGTTGATCAATCTTAAGCAACTTAATCTTCTCATGCAACTACTTCTTATTCACATTTCATCGATCTTCCTTTATTTTTCCTTCAATCAACTTAGCCGATGATTATAATTTTTGCTAATAATGTTAATGATTCCTGGCAAAAGGAGGGTTAGAATTTTTTGAAAAACATATAAAGAAAAAATTAATACAAAATTTTGTTAACAATTACGGTGATTAGGTCCATCTTGTATGCATAACACTCGAAATGCTTACCTTAGGTCCTTATGCACAACTCTCTTATTATGAGGTCATTAAGGGTAAAAAAATCAAAAACTTTGGTCCTTAATGTAACCTCAACTCTCTTAATAAATGGGAAAACCCCCATCGACTTGAAACGAAATTGGACCCCGACTTGATCGGATATACAGTAATTTTTTTCCTTCTAATTGTTGAATATAAACAATAATTTGATTTCTAAAATATGAGATGCAACAAAGAGCCTAAGTCAACACAGAAACATAAAATACTACAACACATGATCTTTAGTTCACAATAAAGGCAAATTAACATCAACATCAAAAGCTAATTGTCATAGAACAAAATACAGTCCAAACATTGACCAAATCTTCAATATCAACTTGAAAAAAGTAACCTAGTGCATTGAGACTGATTAATTGGGACGACCTGTGCCTCCAGTGCTTGTAAGCCCTGCCATTTCAAAGTCATATTTATCAAAGTACACAAGTTGTTACGAAATATTTAGCAAATAAAATAAGACTACATTTGTTAGTCCAAAAATACTCCGTATAAAATTAAAACATATTAACTGTTGATACGAATTAGAGTAAAGGCGATTAAAATTATAGTTACCCTTCATGAAAACATTAACCACTGAATCTGGGAAAATGGTTGGACGATGCTCAATCATTATTGCACCGGGAACCCATAGAAACACCTCCGTTGAAAGAATTGACCGGCGTCGCCAAGTGATGATACCTCCCCCTGACTTGATTGATCATAGCAACCACATTCTCCTCCGCGTGCTTGATCTCCAATAAGACAATTACTGTTGGGTTGTGAACCTTGCATAGGTAGTTGAAATTCGCTACGAAGGAAGGTCTCGTAATTCCTCAAACATTCCAACAAGCTATACGAGTATTTGAGGGGGGGTATAACCCAACTGAAATGGTGGACAAACAAGAGGATCCATGATGACAGTGTGGAAAGGTGCTCTATAATAAGGGAAATTATTACCGTGGTGTGAAACCTTCAAGCCTATGACAGAGAAATGAAGTGGTGCATCAACAACCTGCAGAGCATCAAAATAGGTTGTCATACGTAGGTAAAGCTTTTCAAACATAAGCTTAAACTTTGGTGTGCCAAAATTTGGTTGGGGTTTTGGGTCAAGGAGTTTTAGAAGGTGGGAAGGAAGGGCGTGATAATTCTGGAGGTACGACTTGATTGCATTTTGGAAACTTGTCGGAAGGGGGTGGCAATCACGGATGCTTGGGAGGTGGGCAGGTTGGACCACAGTATCCGCACCGGATGTTATCATCTTCAAGTTTCGCAGCGAGTATGATAAATTTTGGGGTGTAAGGATAAAATTGGAAATAGTTTCTTTGGACACAGTCTGCTGCCGGCTATTACCTGAGACCCCGGTGTGGAGGTATGTAGTTTGGTTTATATCCAACTCAAAATCAACGTCACCTTCACCTCCACCAGGAGGTTTGAAAAAATAAATTATGGGATTCCGGCGAATTTCGAAGGATAAGGGGGAGGCATAGTTGAAGGTTTTTGATTTTTGACTTGGAAGATGAAGGTGAATAGTTGTAACAGTGAGATTAAAACTCATTATAAAATAACACAGCTGGTTTTTGGTCATACACGTGTGAGTCAATCCGACCATGTATATTCACGGTTATTGAAATCCTTACTAGTAAATTTCGGGCGATTAATTTCCTTTGTTAATTAATTAAATTAAAAAAAAATCATCACTTAAATTAAATTAATGTATTAATTATTGTTACTGAAAAAGAGTTTTATGCCGTACATAGGGGTGTCTATCGGGTTTTAGGTTCAGTTTTGGATTCATTTTATAGGTTTTCGGTTTGAAACGAGTCAGTTTGTAACGGGCTAGATTTATGAACGCGTCATTTCGGTTCGGTTCTAAATAACAGGTGAGTTTAGTTTCATGTTATTACAATTTCTTTTTGTTTTTGGCTTCTAATCGGATCGGGTTATAATAGGTTCGAGTCATAATCGGTTCCGGTTGTAATCAGTTCAAGTTCAACTACAATCGGTTTGACGTATATCGTATAGTGTATCCTAGTTTTAAATGGGTTTCGTTAACGTATATCGTATAGTATAACCTCAATATTCTTTAATAATTACCCCAGTAGATCATAAACAGTATTAATTAGTGGTTTCACTTTATGTGCATTTTTTAATAATAATAATAAAAAATAATAAAAAATCTAGAGTTAACTTTTGATTTACGTTTTTTAATTTTTATAATACAATATAGTGTTCCAAAAGCCATTACTCGTTAGAGGACAAAAGAAAAATAGTTTATTATTCAAATTAAACCCTAACGTTTTACTATTGATAAAACAAAAAAAATTAAAAATAAATACATAAATAAAATTCATCTGTAATAAGGGGGTACGTACTTACGGATTATAAACATTTCGGTTATAACTGGTTACAGATTGTAAACAGTTCGATCATAACTTATTATGGGTACGGTTCAATCCTAACTTGTTACAGGTTGTAAACAATATTGGTTTATCGGGGTTTTGTCATGTTTAAATGGTTTCGGTTAACAATGGGTCGATTTTATTTTTCGTGTTTAAACGGTGGCTATCGGGTTCTAAATTACTCGGTTCTTCAAATGTACTCGATTCGGGTTGTTCTCGGTTTCAGGTTTCTTAGATCTGCTTAATATCGGATTAGCAACAATATTCCTTCACATCTATTTGCTATTTTAGTACACAACGAAATGGAATTTCAAAATAATGAACACAATGAAAACATAATATCCGTACTGTAGACACCCATTTGTGTCTCCCCAAAACCAAACCCAGTGATGAGTACCTTTCACGTTGAATCATAATCGAATGAAGTGAAAGTGTGGAAAGTCTAGTGTTGCAGATAGTTTTAATTTCTTTTCCCTTCTCTCTGTTTTTGAAAACCTATTTTAAGAAAACAGCCAATCCAGTTTGGTTTGGTCCATAGCAAGGGTTCAATAATGGTATAGTTGGATGGGGCTTGAAAAGAGCTTTCCAACGATATATTATAAGCCCAATTCCAATGAATAATGAGGAAGTTATGACCAAATTACTAAACTGGGCCCGGTTTGATACTTATATGCGACCCAATGATCTAGAGGAGGGCCTAATATGGATTTATCATTCCTAATGCAATTAGAATTGATTTTAGTCTTCTAGATTCTTCTAGAAGGTTCTTTTCATTCCAAATTCAATTAGCATTGATAAATTGACTTTGGTTGACTTTTTAGAGTTTTAATCAGAATAAAAGAGTGTTTTTAAGGAAAATACGATTTTACCCTTTTGTACAGCTAAATTTTATCAGATTAAGAAAACGCGTGAA